TCTTAGCTATGGTAAATAATGCTGCAATAAACATGGTTGTGCTGGTAGCTTTAGTGTGGTCTTGTTTGTAACCATTTGGGTAAATGCCCAAAAGTAGGATTGCTGGGTCATAGGGGAGCTCTATGTGGAGTCCTTTGAGGAACCTCCATACTACTTTCCAAAGTGGTTGAACAAGTTTACACTCCCACCAGCAATGCAGTAAGGTCCCTTTCTGCCACATCCCCTCCAGCATCTGTTGTTATTAGTGTTCTTGATTATAACCATTCTAACTGGGGTGAGGTGGAATCTCAATGTTGTTTTGATTTGCATTTCTTTTCTGGCTAGAGATGTTGAGCATTTCTTCATATGTCTATTGGTCATTCTTCTTTCTTCTTCAGAGAAGTTTCTCTTTAAGTCTTTAGCCCACTTATTTATTTATTGGCCTTCTAAACAATTTTTGAAACAAATTTGATATCAGACTAATAACTACTGGCACTAATTGAAGCTTTCTGTTTAAAAACAGAGTTGTGAATTGATTTAAAAATAAAACCCTTTTGGATGTTTTGACAGAAACAAATCAAATTACACAATACAATTGATTAGTGTAGATAAATCTATTGTCCTATTGCTTAAAATAATGGCTGTTATCAATTTGGGGATTGCTTCTATTTTTTTGTTTATAAAAGAAATGTACATTACCTTGTTCATGTACTTGTAACCCCTCTGTATGGTATTTTCACAATTAAAAAAACCTTATTTAAAAAATAGAATGAATGTTGGGCACTGTAGCTCACACCTATAATTCTAGCTACTCAAGAGGCTAAGATTTGAGAATCATGGTTCAATGCCAACCCAGGCAGGCAAGTCCATGAGACTCTTATATCTATTTAATCACAGAAAGGCCAGAAAGAAGTGCTGTGGCTCAAGTGGTAGAGTATTAGCTTTTAGTAAAAGAAGTTCAAGGACAGTGCCCAGGCTTAAAGTTTAAGCCCAAGGACCAGCAAAATAAAATAAATAAATAAATGAAAACAATAAAATTTTCCTAAATGAAATGAAATAAAACATTTTAAAAGGAAATTCATGGGTCAGGCATTATTCTCAGGGATGCATAATTATTATTTCATTCGTCTTATCCTCCACCCATACCATAATTTTCATATTCTTAATGAGAAAGCTCAAATATCCTAGTCTAACAAATTCCCTAACGAAGTCCCTCTAGAAGAAGGTAAAAGACATGAGATAACATATTTATTTGGAAAAGGCAATGATCTCTTTTACTCATTTTTCTTTAGAAAAAATATTAGAAATCCTAAATTTCTTTCCAAATTTTTCTAATTGAAAAATAAAATATTGCAAGTTTTTAAAAAGCTAGACAATATGAAAAAATGTTACTAAATAATAGTGAAAATAATAATGAATCTCAATATTAAAAAGAAAGTAGCCACAGGGTCATGTGCAAAATACATCTGATTTGGTAGTATCACTCTGAGCTTATATCACCTTGATGAAATTTCCATATTTGATATATAAATTACTCTGATAAATTGACAACCCTTTCTTTTGGTTTATTACTTTCTCTTACTTGTCCTTTTTTTCCTCTAAGGAATGCTCTTTAGCCTTACGGTGATATGAACTTGGCAATCCAATTGTTTTATAGCATGAGAACTCTTTAGAGCATCTGGTTGGTTAGATATTCTGGAAGAATAGATATCCCTTCTGGACACACACATATTTCATTAAAAGAAATAAAATATACCTATATTCCATAAATAGCCAAATAAAATGCTCAGAATCTTACTCATCTCTTCAGGCTTGCACTCTTTGTGTGCTAATTTATCTAATCTAGATTTCATGCAACACTTTTTTTTCTCTGCTAACATTTATTGAGGTATTCTCCATGGCTGGTACTCTACTTGTGTTAGAAGATAAGGACCAAGCTTATATTCTTTTTACTTAAGGCTCTTTTTTACAGAGAAATAATAAATAACTGGACAATTTCTGATCTAGGACATATATTCCATGGTTCAAATGTCATATGACACAGCACAAGAAGAACCTGTAGTATCAAGCAGCAGAAGGATAATATCATTCTGTAGAAGAGTGGTGATATTACTTAAAGATGGTATCATTGCTGATCTTGCTCCTGCAGGAGACTCAGTCTGGAAGATAACATAGGAAGATATCATAACTCCTAATATGATCTGAGAAACACTCCTTTAGAAAACTGTTAATAGACAACATTGTTTTCTTTTCTTGTTCTACTTATGCATTATCCATATATATTTGTAATATTTCTTTCTGAATATTTATCTTGAGCAACACTGCAGAATATCTTAGTTTTATTATCAGAAACAATATAAAATAGTTCATCATCCTAGGGTCTCCCTGTACTTACACTATTCCCTAAATCTGCTAATAAAGTAAGGATAACAAAAGAACCATGATAACTGCTGTGAGTGGAATTTACAGTCAAAATTGAATTAAGAAAATAGCATTCTAAATGCACACACTGACTTTGTAATTTTGGTTAGGTGATCATGAAAGATCTGGCTGAAGATGTTTCTCTTAACCTGAGACCTGAAAAGAAAAAGGTAAGCAAGTCCAGACCAGGGAAAGCTTTGTACCAAGAATCCAGGATAGCTTGTGCAAAGGGTCTCAGAAGGAAACAACTGATCACAGCTTCAGGATTCAATGACAATTACCATGAACAGTCGGACAAAGTAAAGAAGAGATGGGTTGGTATGATAGGGGGCTATAGGTATAGATATGGTTAGGTTTAGAGGTTTTATGGCAGAAATTCCATGAATGTAAAAAGGGAGAACCAAGCATAAGCAGGGAGAAAGGCAAGGCCCTGGTGCAGTTCTGCTATCTGTGGAGTCTGGAAAATAAAGAGAATTGTACAGAAAGTCATTTGAGGGAATTTTCAGCCCAATGGATGGAATACGTTCTAGCCAAAATTGTCCACATGAGGAATCCCATCTTTTTCATGGGAACAAAGCCGAATGAACAGTTAGGCTATGGTTAGTTATGAACTCAGAAAAAGGGTGGTGATAGATACAGAATAGCAGGAGCTAGTGGTCACACAACTCTGCTCATGACAGCAAGAGATTAGAGCAGTGTTCACATGGCTACCATAGTCCACTCCTAATTCTACAGCTTAGCTATGTTCATGGATAATTTTGAAGTGTAGACTGATGCAGAGTGGTAGCAGATGAAAGGCATGGGAAGTATTTCTGCATGGGATCTCTTATTGCTGCAATTTTCAATCATGCTGCTGCATATGTTTCCCTTCAGAAAAATAAAAAGTACATAAAAATGTTCATGCACAAGTTTGAAAACATTTAGGGAATGTAAAATAATTACTGGTCACAATTTTCAGAGTTACTAGGAGCTGAGAATAATGGAACTAATTTGTCTTGAGCAATAAAACCACAGTGTGCCATAAAAGAGAATTTTTTGAAAGATCAAATAGCATCTGGAAACTTCCTAAAACTGTTTATAAATTTTTTCTCAAAATATTGTTGAAGGAACAGACAGGAAAAAGACATAACTTAAATCACTACATCTAATAAAAATTATAATGAGGCCTGTTTTTTTATTTCTTGAACTAGCTCATGGTAACAAGTACACTTTTTGATTATCAATAAAGTGATTTTTATATTGTTGAGTTAAAACAAGGTTTTCACAGCCATATGAGGAAAAAGTTACTCAGGTCTGTAGCAAAGCAATTTATTATCACTGGAGAGAGAGTATTATCACACACACAAAATAATATGACAAAAATCCTCCTACACTCAGAGGTTTAATTTTTTCTCCCAATTCTATAAATGATATAATCAGTCATGAATAAAATTAAAATTGTACTATCATCCTGAAACTACTTCAACATAACTGTCACAGATATTTATGGAATGCCCTGCAGTTTGTAAAGCAAAATGTTTTACTTATTTTGTAAAGCAAAATATTTGACTTTCTTCACATACAGACATACCTGGGAGTTGTTTGGAATTAGAATTAGTATACATTTAGAAATACGTTTGTAGCCTGGTGCTAATGACTTAGGTCTGGAATCCTAGCCAATCAGGAGGTTGAGTTCTGAGGATCACAGTTCACTAGAGCAAAGTTTGTGAGACTCTTATCTCCAATTAACCATTAAAAAACCAGGAAGCAGGGCTGTGGATCAAGTATCCTTACGTGAAAAGCTAAAAGAACAGTGCCCAGGCCCTGGGTTCAAGCCCCAGTACTAGCCTAAAAAGTAAAAATAAATTACTAAGATGATTCCATTGGAGTGAATCTTAAGTGCTTTTGCAATATTCATTTATTGAACTATTATACTGTCGTTGGTATATACCACTTAAAAGTTCCCAACTAAAATATCCACTTAAAAAATAAGAATAACCTACTAAATAATTCATTTCAAGAACTGAATATTTCTCCAAACCAAGGCTAACTTTGTTTATTCATTTGTTCTTTTGCTGTTAGAAATATTCCATGATCAACAATTTTGACTAGATTTTAAACTCACTTTGAGTTAATTCAAGTCTCCATCAACATTCATTCAAATTTTTTAATTTAGATAAATAAAACTCAAGTTTTTGTATGCTAATTTTGAAAATAAGTAGAAAAGTGAATTTGTTTTCTACAATTATATGTGGTATTACAAAATCAATATTGAAGATATTTAAGCTATTAATTATTGTCTATTTTCATCTTTTTTTGCCAACATCGGAGGGCTAACTGCACTCTAAGTCTACATTATAATCAGGCATACTTAATAAACTTAGATATTTGTCACCTTTAGTTCTTACATGTGTGTGTGTGTGTGTGTGTGTGTGCATGTGTGTTACTTGGGTTGAACTTAGGGTTGACATTGATCAAGATGCATTGCACATATAATCTGATTTATTGAACTGAAACCCCTTTGTACAACTTCTTAAAATTGAAAAAAATATTAATTAGAATGCCTCAAATTCAAAGTAGTAACAATTCCAGTAGAGACTCTAATTTTATAATTGTAACCATAGTAAACAATAGAGGTAAAAAACCTCAGTTCACCTTGAAACACACACACACACACACGCACGCACACACACACACACACACACACACACACACACACTTTCTGTTTGGGCAAATCAATTCAGTATAGTGGAAAACGTCAGGGAAAATTTATAAGAAATCTTCGAGAGATAATAAGTAAATTCTGCCTTTTTACTTTTTTAATGACATATCAGGAAAGACTTGGACCTTAATGATAAAAATATGTTTCATCTTTCCCTTGAATTATGCTCCATGTTTCACTTGTCTAATGCTATTTAATTGCTATTGTATTGTATTACCATTATTAGTATGATATTGTACTACTATTTTACTATTGTATTGTATCCCAATTATAATTCTAAGTCAGTAATGCTTTTTATATGTTTTAAAAATCAAAGTTAAATGTAATGACATACTCTTGGAAATCTCAGTCTCTTCATATTCCAGGAGTCTTGCATATATTTCTTACATATTCTATAGATTATTTCTTCTATAACTTATATATGTAACTTATATATTTCTTATATATAACATTTCTTATATATTATACCTAATATTTAATCTTACATATTAGCTCCTTATATAGGCACTGTTATTTATTCATATAGTCTATAACAAACAAAAATAATTGTCCTTTTCCTATTCATACATAATGTTATAACTTTTTTTGTGAACATACTGTAAAGAGAGGTTACAATTACATGGGCAAGATAATGAGTACATTTCATATCAAGTATTGCAGCCTCCTCCTTTGTTTACCCTTCACATCCCTTCCCAGCCTCCCCCGCACCCCCCAATCCTGTGTTTCTTCTGGGTCTCTATTAAGAAAATTTCAGCCTGTGCCAAGGAGAACTAAGGTTTCTCTTATTCCATCCTGTAATGATTTCAGAGTGTCTGCTTTGGCTTCGAGGTCTTTGATCCATTTGGAGTTGATTCTGGTGCAGGGTGATATGTAAGGATCTAGCTTTAGTTTTCT